CAGGTAAAAACGGTAGCAGAACGAGTGGCTTAAAGATCTGATGGTGGATATTGCGCGTGATCGAAACAGACGCAGACAGTCAGAAGCGATTAGAGATATCATTAGGGCTGGCTAAACCACACCAACCAAGCGACATCGATCATTATTACAGTATAATAATCTGATCTGCTGATGATCCATGTTCAGTCAATCGAAACGATGGTTCCCTAAGATAAAATTTTACTTCTTCGTGTTGCTAAGAACTGAACTGCAAGAAAAAAAGGATGACTAAAACGAGGCTGGAAAAATTTACCGATACTACAATCCAAGAGGCTCTCGCAGAGCATCACTACTTCTTCAGACGAAGAGACCAAATTCGCGACTGACCGAGAACTTACAAGACGAAATCTCTTAGCAAATTCACTTGGTAACTATCGATAGGGCAGCCATAAGGACGCTGAATGAACCGCTGAACGTCTGTCACCGCTTCGCTTAAAATTCATTCATAGAAAGCTGCCCAATTTACGGTAAATCAGTTAATTAAAGCAACTGAATCAAACCGTTTTAAAGCCGCTGCTACCGCAAACATAAAAAAACAGAACTAGATTTTTAATATAATGCAGTGATATAGATAATTTATAGCATACAATATTTTAACATGTATACAATATGAACGGCATAACCTTACGTATTAACCTTATGCTGCACTATATGCACTTATACGATTTATGAACGTATTCGGTACATAAAAGCTGTTCGTAAAAAAACGCCCAAATTGGTAAATAATACATTAGCATAATAGATAATATCCTCGCATTCACCGAGAAAATCTTCAAACGGTTTAATCCTCACAAACTTTATCAGACAAAATCCCGGCGTTTCGGATCGAATTGAGTACATGTGCAGGAGGCATAATACGTGCAAAAATATTAGCGATCAATTTTTTTCAACTGCTGTTATAAAATGTCTCCTGAGGATGGATGCAGCTCGATCCGAAACTTCGGGATTTATGGTGCAATAAAATTCGTGTGGAGTAAACGCTTTGAATATTTTGGTGTTGAAAGACTTTAAAATTGATCACTTTAAAACAGCCACATTAAAAGACATCACAAACGAAAACGTACGAGAATCGGTTTGTCCTTGAATGTCTGCACATCTTGTCGAAGGAACATGTAGGCCTTCTGTGCATCTTCGTCCGAATCGAAATTTACATACCACGTACTGTTGAGAGCATATTCACAAGAAATCATTGGCGGGCACTTCGGACTTCTGAAAAGATCCTCGATCTCCTGCAGGAAAAAAAACGCGTTACAGTGTATAGGAAGAGGCAGCAAAAAAAGGCAACGTTAATCAACGTTAAAAAAAGAAATAAAAAGACTATAGAGTCCATTGGAAAGTGTTAGTGGTCGCTCTAGTGCTATGTCTGTCCTAGAAACAGGGGCAAACGATGATCTCGCGTCATGAACCAGATCCTTTCCAAAGACACTGCTCTGCCGCGTCGACAAAACATCAGAAGACTGTAATAAAAAAATCGATGGGGGATCGTTGCGCCACTCAGATGGCAATGTCCTCAGCCATAGCGTTAAGGCCACAGGAACGGGGCGAAATCAGGCTGCAGTGGTGTGATTTCATGACTGACGTTTTAGGCACTGTGTGTTTGAAATGTGGAAAACGTAGAGAGCGATAGAGCAGCCACGTTACTCTACTGCGAGCAGGTGCCTGTTTCTGAAACAGAGCTCATCACTGGCTTTCGAGGAGGAGAAGTCATTTGTTGACCGGCTGCGCAGTGATAGACGCTTTATAATCACAGGGTCGCCATGACCACCGGTCGGGATTTTATAATCATCAACAAGAGCTACGCTGGATGACCGTTTTCAGGTCAACACCAGGCATTTACGGCTACCACAGCGGTTAAGGGGGAACGGAAAAGTCATCCAGTCAAAATATTCTTTAATTTGCTCGTCGCCCGCTCTCCGAGACAAGGACAAGAGAATGATATTAGGGATTCAATAAAAGAACCCAGCGCTTAAGTGCACTTTAAGGTGTACAACTGCAAAATCACCTATTAAAAGAAATTGGCCAAACATCAACATGCATGCATCGTGGAACATAAGGATAATTAGGAAAGAGAATGAATGGATCAGGGCACAAAGCGGAATCTGCAATACATTCAATGAAAAGCAAAATTTAAAAAAAACAGTGAAACAGCACTGCATTAGACATGCCGGAGAAGGCCGTGACCTGCACTGAACGCTGAGGGCGTCAAATAAACCCACCGACCTTACAAATACTCGCACATGAAAAGGCAGCCGGCATTTAAACCATGCGGAATAAAAAATCTCGAACAATACGTCAGACGACAAGACGTGACATAACAATCATCAAAACATGCTACCATGTAGTCTTCGCGTAAGCTGAGAATAATTTTTTTCTCTCACAAATCTCCAATATTATCTTGAGGATATTTTGCCGTAACTATTTTCTGAAAAAGGCAATAGTACAGGGACTGTTTCATTAATCCTATGCATTTTAAAACCCACATTTCCCCTTGGACAGGGAAAAGGGAAAACAGATTTTACAGTCTGATACGCTCATCGCTAGGTGTTCAGAAGGCAGACTGACATCTGGCTAAGCGATTGCTGAAGGATCAGTATTTTGTCCAGAACATGAAACACGGTTATTCATGTTGCTTTAGCCGTACACGATAAAGATGTCTCCTAAGTCTGTGAAGGACAGCAAACATAATACAAAAGCACAAACATAAAAACAATTATAACGCACTTGTTTTTCGGTGCCCTCTGGAACTTCACGCAGGATCAGGGTACTACGTTTGTGTATCGGGCGTACCTTTTCACCAGATTCGTCCACCTGAACGTTTGAAGATTCTAAACGCAATTACGCTTGTACACACATAAAAAGGCTGTATAATATGTATATCTAGCAGTATATAAAGTTAGAAATATACATACATAAACCGGGAAAGTACTAACAAAATATAAACATAGTACCATATTAAATATGCACCAGTGGCATTTCATTATGCGGGAAATGGTGATATCATTTTGGATTTGAAACATGGTAAATTCGCA